CTTTTCTAATTTGAGACAGAGTCGTATTATAGTTTAGGTTGCAGATATTGCATTATTTCATATTTAAATATAGTAAATTACCATCTAAATGCAGTTCTCAAACCGAATCTAATTAAGAAATACAAGTGTTTCTATCCATGATTTATAAATACAAATCAAAATAAGTTTATATTAGTGATGTGACTATCATGAAGTCTACAAATCCAACAATATTGTCAACCAGACCGATAAACCGGAGTCGAGCCCAAACGTTTGAAGCGGCTATTTTGACTTTAGCCAAACATGCCATGAACTCAATCTTTGAGAAGATCATTTAGAATGGACCTTCCTGGTATTGCATCTCTTATGTCTATGACTCAAAAATCACTTAAACGAGTCATGCCAAGACAATAATCTCAAGAATCGAGATTGTGAATCAATAATAATTAATAATTATGGAAGAATCACAAAGTTTCATATTACTTATTTCCTTACAGAATAAGTTTCCTTTCAGTATATTTTCTAATAAGTTGTTTTCTTGTTTTTATGTTTCTTATTTTAGATGTTGTCTTTTAAATTATTTTCTTTTATTTTCAATATTTTTTTCTTCTACCCTCAAGAACCTCTATATAAAGGTCCTTATATCACTGCAAAAAAAAATGGCCATTTTTTTTTGCCATTTTTTGGTACAAAAAGCTATTTATAACGATTTTGTACCGGATTTTGACCGGTGCATATACTCGAGTTACAAAAAGTCTTTGTACCGACTTTTTTCGCAACAAAAAATGGGTGGTCAACGCATTTATTGTAACAGTGTTTGTAACGCTATCATCGTACTTTTGATTTATTTGTAGCGACCATTTACCGTTATAAAAGAATCGTTACAATAAATGCTTATCCATTTGTAACGGCTTTTGTTACGGTAGTTATTGATTACAATAGGTGGTTTTCAGAAACCTGGTTAATATTTTTTGTACCAGTATTTGTAACGACCAATTAATTGTATCGAAAAAGGTTTCCTTTATTTTTTAATAATAACCTAAAAAAAATATTTTTGGGACCGAAAAACCTATACGATGTGAGAAACTACTGCCAAATGACATTAAAAAATACGAAAATATTACGGCAATTCTGTATCACCATAAGTTGTAGCAAGTACATACTATGTGGAAACATAAATATTTCGCAATGTAGCCTAACATATATGGCAAAGCGTAGCAACAAACACACAAAATGTAGCAGAGACAGCAAGTTCAACCAACATAAAGGAATCAGTTAGCATCAATCCACAAACAAACGTCAATCATCATAGAATCACGTGCCATGCTGCATAGCCCCACGCACCGTCAAAGTGGCCATACACCGTAGTTACAGGCGCGAACAAGCTGCCAACATTGTGCAGAATTATATAAGAATTTATTTGTAAAATGGTTAAGTTGTAATCCAATAAAAAAATCTTGTAAATGTGGTTGCGTACATCTTTAAATGTCCAATCGATTGGCTCGGCGCGGACAACCTCACCGAGTGTTTGTGCTCCGGAGGTTGTCCGTAGAATAAGCGCAGCCTCCGGAACAGTAGCAGATGTAACAAAAACCCTTACTATGTCAACAGTGTCACCTATGGAAAAATAAAGAAAACATGTGCAAATCATCGGAAAGAATATAAGACTCACGTTTTATATAATCAGTATAAAATATTAAAGATATTAACTAAAACGTTATAGCATACGTAAGAGAAAAGGTCGGAGATGATCGCATAATTTAACCATCCATACAACAGTGTAATCAAAATTATAAAATATAGATTAGTATAACTATAATTATAGCATGGATCTTATCTTGATGACATCCGGACCAACATCTGTACAACCACACAAGTATAAAACAACCAGCAACGTGATCAATTTATTTGATACATGTGAAAAGTTGTTTGTTTAAACTACCAACTTAAACATGTACCAATTTAAAAACAACAATTAATTGAGTACTGTTAATGTATCCAAATACCTAACACATAAGTTACATCAAAAATCAAAGCGGTTTGGGAAAAAAATCAATTTACCCACCAGCCTACAAAAATATTTAATTATAGATTTATATGCTACCCAACAAGGTCATACAGAGCAAACAACCACCCAATTACAGTTCCATATAAATTGCATTGTCACCATATCATGTATTACTATTTTGACTAACTAATAACCATAGAATATGCTTTACTCAAAATGGCTGCAACCAAAACCGATTTCATATAGATAATATAACTAGGTTGCAAACAAACCTAGGGTAGAGTCGGATAGCAACACCCCCTCACCAACAACGCGTTTTTCCAAACCACGAGATATGAGAAGAATACGAGACCCGATCTACATGAAAAACGTTATCAAATGTCAATCATATAATCTACATGCATGTTCTCAAAGGTGGTGGTGATGTATTAGTAGTGGATGTTATTATCTAAAGGGTGATTCAGTTCATAAATACAAATAAAATTAGCAACGAAAAATTACTAACCGTCAACAGGGTAAGTACATCAGTCCCCGGGTCTCTGACCTTCCATCTTTGCGGCTAGAACACTGCAAAACAAGTGAGTATAAAACGACATGACTCGCCCCAAATAGTACAATGCAAAACTAATTAAAACACGAGATATGCATTCTTACAGGGCCCCGTATGGAGGCACGCGGGGAAGAATTCAACAAAGTAGACATCTCAGCACAGATGGTTCTAATTTCAGACATCTCAGCACGGACACTCCTAAATTCAAACATAAATTCTCTAATCTCAACAAGGCCTTTCTCATAGTCCTCAGCAAGCTTCCGGAGATCAGGACCATCGGTCCCTCCAGTCAAATGACTCCGGGGGTAGGCAGAGCTGGCAGCACTATCAACAACTGTTTTTCTATTCCTTTTCCCCCTGAGTGCACGGCGGTACAAAGCCTCACGAGCCGCCGGGGTTCTTTTATCAACAGGAATTTTATTAAGTTCATTATTCAAATAAGCCTACAGAATTTCAAACAAATACAAAGATGAAGGACGAGAAGTACTACAATTCCATTCAAAAAAAGGTGAGATAGGTTTGCATACCAAAATATCATCAGTCATCTCACCACCACCACCACGTCCATTCATGCGAGACGACATCCAAATTTCCAGATTATCAACCTCTTTCCCTGTTGCCTTTATCTAAGAGTTAGCCAAATAAGAAACCGGTAGTTAACTTCACTTACACATAAGAACTGGGGAGTCGTAGCTGTGGACTAAATTATTGCACAAACAAGAGAATGAAGGACCTCATCCGCCAACGCTGTGAATGGTTTCCGGCCAGTCCTGTGCGGAAACTTTCTTTTGATGGAGTTATTGGTATTTCTCCTTGCAATATCCTGCGAACATCAACCCATATGAATTGGAGTAGCCTAGGTAGCATGGTAAGAGCATAAAAAGATGAAGGGAGAGATGTAACTTGCCTTAATCTTCTCATCCTTCCAATACTGGACAAGCAACGGCCATTCTTCAGCGACAATCCGATCGGTGGGGACTTTCTTCAATGCTTCGTCGTCATTCTGGTGTGGTGCGAAGTATGTAGACTTGATGATGCATTTCCAATGGCGCCAGACATCCTTCAGGTCAGCCATAACGACCTTCTCTGCCGAATCCGGAAGCCCACAATTGTCCTAAAACAATATTTGTAGTGTTAATATGTAAGCTTGCTCTACTCAAGGAAGCATGTACGGTAAACAGAGGTTTAATATAAGGGTTTCTCATCTTCATTCTATAAAACTTACCCGTATCTCAATCCATGCACCTTGCCGCAATTGTTCGGGAATTGCTTGGAAACTCGAATACCGTAATGGAAGACGCATCCCATTTATGGCGATGACTCCAACTCCACTTTTGTAATCCTTCACATCTGGCCCGATGATGCTTCTGCCATCCCTGGCCATAAACACAGTCATTGGGGTGTCCCCACCCCATCCACGAGGCATCTTGGCCACTCCCCGCCCCCTCTTAGTTTCTGTTATTGGATCTACGAATATATTTGAATATTATGTTAGTATTACTACGCTTCAACACTTACCTAGTTATTGAGTACTGGAATTCATATATATTGTAATATGCTACCTTCCGTCTCAGCTGGTTCATCCCTCTGGGTGAGATCATCTTCATCCATTTCCGGAGGTTCTTCGATTTCAGCCACCGGTGCATGGTTTATTCCCAATGTAATGGGGCCAGTTGTTTCCATCCCCTGCGTAGGGCCTATCGTATCATCATCCATCACATCGCCGATCACCGTCTGCAATATTTTACTCATGTGGTGTTAGGAGTTTCGATGTATCATTGTAGCAAGGCAAGGAATTTATTAGGCGTATTTGACAATCAATATTACCTGCTCTGGCTCATGTGAATCCTGCAATAAAGGACGTCGAACGGAGGATGCATCTGCCCTTGCTGCCATCCGAGCATCCTGCTTTCTCTCCCACTCTTCGGTAATTGATTTTAAGCGGTCCAAAAGAGGTGAGACATGGGCACCCTTGCGTCTAGTGGTTAGCCGTTTAGGACCAACTTGCTTCGGTGGAGAGGGTGTACTAACCTCCGGGTGATTGGTTGTCTTGGAGCTGCTGCGTGCTAGGGCTCTTGTGACCCGTCGGAGTGGTGAACCTCCAACCTCTTGCAATATAGATTGCCTTTCACGGTTGGTTCTCACCATTACCTAAAAGGAAAGAATTCAAATATCCTGTTAGCAACATATATGCAGGAATGTATAAATAAATTAGAAACAACATGCTTTCAACAACAAATGTAGTATGATAAGATAACTATTTCATAGGAACAACACTTACTAGGCCGAAAATATATTAAGTGTGAATGATTCTATTTACCTTATTTAATTCAAAATCTTCTGCTGTAAGTAAAGACTACTATAGTAATGTTTCCACTTTCCAAGTCTATTCATCTTTTCCAAAAGTCAAAAGGTATATGAGAACCCAAAAGTGAAGCCGATTGCTACACCGACTCATCTCCGCTACATCGGAGCTCCATCAGTCTCCTCGTCCGAGGACTCGCCAAGGTGGCTTTGTATACCAACGGATACATTCCCTAGCTGCTCTCCTTCTACTATCGTTCCTTCTACGCCCTTTCTCACCCAATAGTCACGGGATTCCCGAGAACAATACCCATAATCTAAGGAGAACCTATTATTGAATCTGTCATCTATCATCGTGTAAACATCATAGTTATCTCTCTTTACCATTGGCACAACGACACTCCATGCTCCATCAATTGGATCATCGATGTACCAAATTTGTCTTGCTTGTGTAGCTAAACAAAATGGTTCATCCGTGGGAAGATTTTTTGAGTACATCAAATGCGAGAAGTTTACTAACTTGTACCTAAATTCGTCTTCTTTCATGCCCCTCTCTGGGTCCACCCAATCGCATTTGAATAGAAGGTGTTTATTCTCGTTGTTGTACTGCACCTCTATAATGTCAGTCACCATACCGTAATATGCAACGGTGCCTGAACATGGGTTAATGTCTCTTGCACTGGCAAAACTCATAGTATTCGCATTTAGCATCACTCCGGCACACCGAGTCTTTTTCCCGTCATCTATTGACTTGACTCTAAAGCGCAAACCTCCAACTATGCACGAAGTGTACCTTATTGCATGACGGTTGGGTCCGCGTGCTAATGTCTTCATATAATCAGTAACCGTCCCTTCGACAATGTGTGTTGGTTCTTCTACCTAAGCGCACAAATAAGTTATGTTTACGCATCCTTGATAGGTTTTATTTCTCAAAGTGAGAATGGAGTGAAAATGAACACGGACATAATTTTGAAACCAGCCTGGAAATTGTTCTGTATGGATCCGTTGCACTTCCCGGGGACTTGCACGTGGCCGTGTCCTTATGCTTTTAAGATGAGCCCTAGTAGTAGATGGTTGAAGTTAATCTATGTATTCACTATGCGCACAATAGGAATATTTTCGTAGAGTAAATAATAGTACCTTGTTGTTGGCTCAATAGCTTCCAAATTGCCTAATATGTACCCGTGAATTTGTTGCAAGGAGATAAAATCAAGGTTACAACGCACCCCACCAATACCACAGCCAGTTGTGCACCCCTGGTCATCATGTCGCGGGCCTCGGTTCTCTTTTGTCTTGACACCACCAAGATACCTTAAACAAAATGACATACACTCCTCCGAGAGGTATCCGCATACAATGGACCCCTCTGGCTGTGCACGGTTTCGTACATATCTCTTAAGAGTACCTAAATACCGTTCAATAGGATAGATCCACCTATAATGCACAGGTCCGGCAATCATTGCCTTTTCCACCAAGTGAATTGGGAGATGCTCCATCACGTCAAAAAATGACGGAGGAAATAACTTCTCTAGATGGCAGAGAGTCAAAGCTATCCTTTCCTGTAACTTCTCCAACTGACGAACTGAGTTGTTGTGTAAGCACATCGAATGGAAGAAGCCACACAATTCTATCAATACAAGAACTACTTCTCTCGGTAGTGCCCTATAGAAGGAGAACGAATACAACATTTGATCTGAAGTTGTACAAGCACACTATGATCATATTCGAGAAATGATAACAAAAATATAAGGTGTACCGGCGGAGGGAAATGGCAAGAATCTTCTGCATTAGAACATGACAATCGTGGCTCTTCAATCCCCAAATGCTTAGTTGCTCCACTCTCACCCTACGGGATAAATTGCTACTGAAACCATCGGGGGGTCTTAGATTTTTCAAGACCGATAGAAATATTTTCTTTTCAGAGGAACTTATGGTGTAAGCGGCTGCAGGTAAATAAAAACCACCATTCGGTCTCGGAATAGGATGCAAAGAAGTTCTTATATTCAACAACTGTAAATCCTTTCTTGTATTAAGGTTGTCCTTTGTTTTTCCCTTCGTGCCTAGCAAAGTGTGAAGGACATTCTCACAAACATTTTTTTCAATGTGCATCACATCAAGGTTGTGTCGTATATCATTCTCAGCCCAGTATGGTAATTCAAAGAATATGCTCTTCTTTTTCCACCCTAACACTTCTTCATGCTCATAGAGACGCCGTTTTCTAGATCGATGTGCCAAGTGTTGTGTAATCAAATCATCTTTCACATATGTAGTTGGCACATCGCGTATTTGTTCTTCCAGTTCTGTACAAGTTATGGGTGTCGTAGGTGCTGCAAAGTCCATCGTTCCATCGAAGGACTGTCGATCCAGACGCATTCTATGACCGTCGGGCAGGTATCGCCGGTGTCCACAATAGCAGAATTTATGACCATTTTTCAAGTATGCCGAATGTGTTCTCATACCGCAATTAGGGCATGCATTTGCCCCCCGTGTTGGCCAGCCAGATAACATGGCATACCCTGGGAAGTCACTAATGGTCCACATTAAAGCGGCCCGCATTTGAAAATTTTCCTTAATGCATCATATGTTCTAACCCCCGTACTCCATAATTCTTTCAACTCAGCAACCAGAGGCTGAAGAAAAACATCAATGCGATCCCCGGGTCCTTCGGACCATCAATAATTGTAGATAGGATGAATTATGGTTGTTTCATACATAACCATGGTGGTAGATTGTAAATGACAAGAACTACTGGCCAAATGTTGTAGCTCACACTCCTGTTTCCGAAAGGATTAAACCCATCAGTGGCCAACCCTAGACGTACATTGCGTACGTCATTGGCAAATGACGGGTGACGACGATTGAAGTTCTTCCAAGCTGCACTATCAGCCGGATGGCGTAACAGTCAATCGTTGACACGGCCTTCAGCATGCCAGCGCATGGAAGCTGCAGTTTTTTAAGATAAAAATCATCTCTGTAAACGGGGCACTAAGGGAAAGTACCTCATCTTTTTTGCTGCCTTAGTAGGGCTGCCGTCAACGAACCTATTAGCCCCACAAATCACACAAGATTTGAGTTCTACATCATCTCCTGTGAACAACATACAGTTATTAATGCATGCATCTATACTCTTATAATTAAACCCCAACTTCTTTGTTATTTTGTTTGCCTCGTAGTAATTCTTCGGCAAGATCACAACATCTGGTAGGGCATCCCGCAACAGCTCTAATAGTAGGTCGACCGAGTGGTTAGACCACTGACATAGAACCTTCAAATGCAAGAGACGTGCAATAAATGAAAGCCTGCTAATCTTCTTAGACCCTGGGATAAGATCATTTTGCATGTCTTCAAGCATTTGCCTCCACCCACTGTTGTTGTCATCTCTATGGTCATCACCTACATCGTTCGAAGTGTTGCCTTCATTGATCCCTTCACCCTGGTGGTCAGGCATAGCATAATCGCGCATTAGCATATCTAGGTCATCTTCCCACAGTGCTGACCTAAGCCTGTCTTCCGTGCTACTTGATGTTTCACCCATAACTTCATCATGGCTAGTCCACACCCTGTAAGACGGGGTCAAACCCATACCTAATACAATGAAGCAATATCTCCCAACGAGTATTAGTGGCACGGTTTAAACAAGTCCTACATGGGCAATATACAACCGAGTCTATATCCCTCCTAAGAAAAGCATAGTTTAAGAATTGAATCACACCATCCAAATAAGTAGACGAAGTATGGTTCGATTCGTCAATCCAACTCTTGTCCATCTAAGAAAGAAAAAGTTTGAAGATTTTTCATAATCCCATTAACAAATATCGTATGCACTTAATTAAACACATGTTGTAATGTGGATCAAGATATAAGTACCACTTTAATAGCGTGCCATGTAAATAATTTTCAGACCCTAAGATAATTTATTTCAGGTTGGTTTTTAATACTAACCTGCCTCGGCTTATATAACCACCCAAAATAGTAGTATTGAACTAAAAATATGAATATCAGCACTATAATTCGAATGTTCAAATCATAAAAACTATACAAGTAATGTGATATACTATTGATGAATGAATAACTTACTACAATGCAGCAAGCTTGGATCGACGCTTAGACTTGTACCGGAAAGTACGTTGTCCCTCAATGGCGGGTATGACACACCTATTCAATTTCAAAGACGCCTCGTGTCATCCATAATGCACATTAGTAGATCCAAGAATCAGCAGAACACTTTATAAAAACAGTAAAAAGTAACAGAGAAAACACAAACAATATTATACATATCAGTGATTATGGTATATTTAGACTGGGCTTTTGGCAGTTGTTGTGCTTTATCAGCATGGAACATGAACTACAGCAGAATGCACCACTATCTTCTTACACACACACATATATATATACATATATACAACAGCTTCTACAAGGTTTGGAGAAGCAACCAATTGATGTGGTCCCCGTTGGAATTAAATTTGGAGGTGGTCCCTAAACCTTATAATCCAAGTAATTCTTCTAGTTGATGTACCCAACCCTCCCCTTTTCTGATTGCAATATTCATTCATACAAACAATACACAAACATATATATAAACTTATATATGTGCTCTGCCTCCACCAACTATATAGTAAATTTTACCAGTAAAAATAAAGTTTATGCTAATCACGTGCTTCAGGAACGACTTGAAATGCCATGAACAAACTTCCCACTTAAAAATTCCATTAGAACTAAAAATATTATATCTAGCTGCCCAGTAATGAGTTAAACCTCAGACTTGTAAAAATGCAGGAATAATTTCTTTCTGGAAAAGGCTATTTGTCATCCAAGAAGTAAGGCACAAGAGGAATGAATCTAATTATCAAGTAGTGTCAAGACGAACCATATAATTGAGAAATCTCTCATCGTCTATGTAACAGATTAAGCCCTAAATCTAATATTAGGAACAAAAATTAAAAATCAGAAAAGCCTTACTAGGCAGAAAAAAAACAAAAAAAAAATAATTAATCCCATATCCAAATTTACAGGAAAAGCTATGGTTTGCGTTTGAGGACGTCCGCGGGCAGCGGTGGAGCGCGGTCGACGGCCGAAGACAGTGAGGAGGTGCGATTTTCAGGGGTGTAGGGCGGAGGTCAGCCAGTCGGTGAAGAAGAACACAAAGAAAAAGACGACGACGAAGAGGAAGAAGACGAACCAAGAGATCGACGAAGGAAGAAGAAGAAAGAAGATGCAGAAGAAGCAGGGCAGGACGAAGAAGACAGGCGGCGCGCGATTGCAGCTGCTTATGGTTGTGGTGGAGGTTTTTAATTTTTATAATATATACTTTTATTTTAAAATAAATAATTATTTTTATTTTAATTTGTATATTTTAATATATAAGTGTTATGTATATATTATATATGACATACATATATATGTAAATTAATATGACATATTATTCTAGATTATTTTAGATTTATTTTGAAATTTTATTATTTTAAAATAAATAATTATTTTAATTTTAATTTGTATATATTAATATATAAGTATTTAATTTGTATATTTTAATATATAAGTGTTATGTATGTATTATATATGACATACGTATATATGTAAATTAATATGATATATTATTCTAGATTATTTTAGATTTAATTTCAAATTTTATTATTTTAAAATAAATAATTATTTTAATTTTAATTTGTATATATTAATATATAAGTATTAAATTTGTATATATTAATATATAAGTATTATGTATGTATTATATATTACATACATATATATGTAAATTAATATGATATATTATTTTAGATTATTTTAGATTTATTTTGAAATTTTATTATTTTTAAATAAATAATGACCTTAATTTTAATTTGTATATATTAATATATAAGTATTTAATTTGTATATATTAATATGTAAGTATTATGTATGTATTATATATGACATACATATATATGTAAATATGATATATTATTTTAGATTATTTTAGATTTATTTTGAAATTTAAAAGAAAATTATTGTAGTTGTAACGGAAATATACCGCAACAAAAGAATAGGTGTTGACCATACCAAAAATACCATTTGTTACGGTAATATCCAAAACAAAAAATAGCTTTTGTAGCAAGAAAATTGTAGCAACTAAGATTTCGCTACAAATGGCCATTTTTTTGGTAGTGTTATTTATCATTGCAAGGACACACCTCTTGTCTATATTATTTATAAAATTTATTCTTTCAAAAGCGATTCTTATTGTCTTGATTATTCGAGATTATATGATTTAATCGTCGATAATATGTCAAAATTGGGTTATTTTTTAGTGATTCGAGACAGTTCATCATCTCTGAGTTGGTGCTTGACTTCTTGTTGCACAACTTCATTCCTTGATTGGTTTAAAGATTTTGAATTGTGTGCTGCATAGTTCTCACATGAAAAAAAAAGGAATGAAAGTTCAAAAATTGGATTGATAATGTTTTGTTTTCGTATTCTTCTATATGATATTTTTGGGTGTGTTCTTTTGAGGGTTTGAATTTTGTGTTTTGATTTAAATGGTAAAACTTTTAAATTAGAATAGTGATATGGTGTGATATAAACAAGTGTTGAAATGATATTTTGAATGTAAAATTAAATTTTACTAAAATATAAAAAAATAAATAAATATTTTATTTGATATTTTTAAAGAAAAATTTGGTGAATAGTAAAATTTTAGGTAAAAATCCACAAAAAACACACCTTATATATATATATATTTTTCGATCCCTTTTTTACTTTTTTCCAATTGTTTTCTTTTAAATTTTCTTTTCCAATATTTTCATATTCATTCATTTCATTTCTTTTTCTTTGGAGTTAATGCACATGTGTGCTATATATTGATTAATTAGGCATCAAACAAATAATCTTCTCTAAAACATTTTGAGATTGAAGGCATGTAAGAAAATTGGTGAGAACACTTGTATTGAGCGATACACGAGTTGAGGGGAAAAAAAAAAGAATTTGTCAATAGTGCATTACATCTCGGAGAAATTATTATCTGAGGGGAGAAACTTAAGAGGTTGTCCTTATTTTTATTCTAATTTGCTATACGTATATATCTTCTATCCTCATGTCAAGTGATGAAGAAAAACAACAAATTTCTTTAGAATCCAAACTCATCTATAATGCAATCAATGCAACACCTACCAATAAGATCAATGAGCATTTTGACTTAGAGATGAACGAACTAAACCAAAAGTTGGATTTTTTAAATGCACACCTCTCCGTTGGTGCACAGTTCAGGACCACAGTTGACCCACCAGAATTTTGTAGTCCTCGACGTCATACTCCAGAGTACAAAAGGTGAATCTCTCATGAAAGATATGTTTTTGGATCTAATGACGAGTGGAAAATAGCCCAGAATAGATCTTGTCCACACGATCCCATGCGAAACCTGAATTTCAGCATCTCAACCTTCAATGATTATTCCGATCGTGACACTTTCTTTGATTGGGAATGAAATATAGAGCTCTTCTTTTATTCTCTTAATACGATGAAGAATAGAAAGTACAAATTGAAGTACTTGAATTCATTAATTATGC